TGTCAGGGAAGGGAGGGGACCCCTAAGAAGGGAGGCAGTTGGAGGATCCCAGTGGTTGTGAGCAGACCTCAAATTACCATGGTTATCGCTGGGCGGAGCAATGCTGTGAGTTCTCTTTTCTTTCTGTTCAGCTGTGTTCTCAAGCTTATGTAATAAAAGGATTACTTCTGAGATAAGAAGAATCAATAAAACTTATTATGCTTTAAAATACCATCGCAGGCTCCCTGGGGTTCTCAGCTCCCTCGGATTTCTTCACACTTGCAAAGAAGGCTGCCCAGCCCAGCTGACGCCCTGCCCCAGTTTCTAAAGGCAGTGACTCTGCCTCCCAGCTGCCTCCCTGCTGGGTGTGCCCTGGGGGGTCCATCCCCTTTCCACATCCCCACCTCCCACCTCAACACTGCCAGCTCCTGTCTGTCCTTCAAGGCCTCACGTGAGCATCTCCTTTGGAGGGTGTCCCTGTCCAGAGGAGATGGTAGCTTTCTCTGTCACCATCCTGGCCGGCATGTTGGCATCGCAGGCTGGACTGTTCTATACATGCTCTGCCTCTCTGACATTGGACATTGGTACCAATGACTCTTGACCCCTTCTGCCATGCCATACTGCCACGGGGGAGCTCAGAGTGTGACGGGGCAGATGGGAAGAGACAAGGGCACAGGGATTTTCCCCCTTGGCCAGCTGTGATCCACTCCCATGGTCCCTCTCCAGGGTCCAGTGGGCCTGTCTCCTTCCTGCTTTAAGGAAGTTCACCTTCCCTGTGGTCCCCTACACTCTTTTCATACAATTAAGGTCGCTGCACCCTCAGAAATGGGAGTAGTGTTTGTTGATGTTTCCCAGAGTGTGGCACGAGATAGGTAGGTGTCCTATAATTGCATGTTGAATAAGTGAATGAGTGAATACCAATGGATATTTTCTGCTTTTGCTCTCTTCCCTTGGGGGAGGGGATCCCGATCTGATGACCAGTCCTCCCCCACAGGGAAGTGCGCTGTCCCTTCCCATGGCATTGGCTTGCTCAGGTCAACAGGGCGCTGCCATGAGCACTATATCGATCAACTGTCACCCGCTGTTTGAGCTCATTGAGAAGCTGGCTCAGAAGTGAGTCGGGCCATACCCTTCAGACACAAGCACATCTGTCTCCATGTGTCCTCCAAGACCGCGTGTCTGAGACGGGCTGGTCCCCCAACTCCATATAAGGGAGGAGAGGACAGCAAAAAGCCCAGGAGTGAAAATGTCGCACTTTGAAAACAGCTGGAACTGTCTCAACAGTGTTCTTCCTGCGGTGTTAAAGTGCTGGCAACAGGAAAGAAACCGGAAGCTCATCCCCACTGCCTCAACTTCCCCAGTCAGTTTCTGCTGGATGTCCTGAGGCCCCATCTGGACGATGTGATCTTTATCTGTTGCTCTCTGTTCTGTGGAAGCCTCTGGTCCTTGTCAGTCTGTGAGTAAACTCTTCTCTCTGTGGGAAGCCTATCTGTCTGCCTCAATGAAACTTCCCTGATTGGTTTCTGCTGAACATTTTATATTTTAAGTCTCTGATTTAATTCTCTCTCTCTCTCTCTCTCTCTCTCTCTCTCTCTCTCTCTCTCTCTGGATTGCTATATATTTGATAAATACTCTCATTCAAACAAAAGAATGGTTCCCAGAACATTCTCTGCACCATACAGAACAGATACCTATGCCTGATCTTTCTCAGGGTCACTCCCATAGGGCTGGGCTGTGGAAGCTAAGAGGCATGTGGAGTAGGCTTTGTCCTCCAGGGTCCTCTCATCCATACCAGCTACCTGTGGCTGCCCTGCGTGCTGCTTTTGTGACAGAGACTCCTTGTCGGGTCCTTTGTGAGACTGTCCTGGTAACCAGAGGAGGGTGTGGGGTGCCTTCCCCACATTGGATGGAGGAGATAGCTGGGACTTAAGGTATAGGGACAGTCACAAGGCCCCTGATTCAAGCTCCCATACCTTCTGCTTTCCCATGGGAAACCACAAAGCAGGGACCATGGGGAGAGTTCCCACATCCCTACTCTAAACCCAGTTCAGACCCCACTCTCCTAGGGCCCATCCTCCCTTTTCTTTCCCCTTCTCCAAGCCAACTCCCACCACTTTCAGGAGCCCCCAACCCAGCACCCCTGGCTTTTTCCCTTCATTGCCTGGCATCCCCTGCGCACCTCTGAGCTGACCACTTCCCTTCATCGCACGTGGCTGCCAGCCTGCAAGTTCCCAAGTTCAGCTGTGCAGAATTTTGCACACGGTGGGCACCTGATAAATGCGGGTCAGGGCTGGAAAGATGGCTCAGCAATTAAGAACACTAGCTGCTCTTCCAGGTTTGATTCCCAGCACCCCCACAGTGGCTCATAACCATCCATAACTCCAGTTCAAAGGAATCTGACGCCCTCTTCTGGCCTCCACAGGTACCAGGCATGAACATGGTACACATACAAATATGTAGGCAAAACATTTATACACATAAAAATAAATAAATATAAACACATTTTAATGTGTAGGTCTTCTCCTGGCACCTTAGCAACCGGAGTCTTAAACGCTTTCTAGTGAGGATGTAATGGCATGTGAGTACCTGTCACCAGCTCACACTCAGCGCAGAGTTGACTCCGCTGGCCTTAGGAGACCTTGGAAGACTAGGCATCGCTGCCTGGGCTCTGGCAGCTGGGCATCCTGTATGCACCTCCTGCCTCTTGTCTCTCTGCCCTCATCCCTCTCCAGACCTGCGATTCTTCCATTAGACCCCATCCTGGTACCAGCTCTCTCTGTCCTGTCTCTTCACACATGTGCACTCTCTGGCCAGCTGCCTGACCTGTGAAGCTGCCACCTTTGTTCTGTCTGTCATGGTCCCCTATAAATAGCTATTTTGTCTCCTTGGGGACAAGGAATGTGTTGAGCAGGCCTGATCACCTCCTTCTGTCACATAACCAGAACAGTTATTGAGTGGCTATGGGTCCCTGGGAGGAATAGGCTCTTCTCTAGGCCTCCACCACCAGCTCTGGATTCTACATTCCCCTCTGGATGTGATCTCTGTCTCTGGACCACTGGTGGATCCTCCTTCGATGATCATAAAGGTACAGCACTGGGAAGGAGCTGAGCTGGTTGGTGCCTGTTAGGTTGGACAAGAAAGGACAGGATATGTAATATTTGAGGGGGATCCATTTAGAGAGTTTACTGGCAGGGTGCCCATCAAATGCAGCCTGGGTAGGAATCTAGAGTGGGCTCTGTGTGTAGCTCTGTGTTTCCCTCCAGGGACCCAGGAGAAGCCAGAACTTGACCCTGGGACTATGTGGTTCTAAGAAAAGTGCCTAAAGTTAGAGGAAAGAGATGAGCCTGTGTCCCTGGGAGTATGCAAGCAGAGGCTGTGTGCCCCTGGTCCCCAGCCTCCCCCACCCTCTCTGCCCTCATCTCCAGCTAGGCTGGAACCTAGGTGTATTCCCCACAGCTCATCAGATGCCAAAGTCTGCTTCTTTCCATGACTGTGGCTCTGTATTCAAGTCCCCCAGCACCTTGAGTCCAGGATGTTGGTATCTTATTGGGTCTTTGTCAATAGTCCATACTAGGACTTGTTTTCCCTGGGTGGAGGCCCTCGGTGACTAGGACCTTTAGGGGCATAAAGGGGAGATCCTCAAAATGGTTTGGGAATATTGATTGGGAGACATGCTTCCTGGCTGTCCAGGTAAATGAATGGCCTCAGGTTTCCATGGGTACAAAGAGACAGGATGTCCCTTCCCAACACAGCACTGAACCTCTCTGGAAGAGAACAGCATTGGGTGGGGGTGATCACAGGACCACTGGAGCTATTAGCATTGGGCTAGAGGGTGGCAGATGGATGGTTCTTGACAAGAGGTAACTATGGTTTCAATAACATAAAGTTCAGAGGCTAGCCTTGGACTGGGACTTCCACCTACCAGCTCCAGAAACTGAAGAACCTAGAAAGATCCACTGCTCATCCCCAGAGGATGGGCCCACCCAGAGAAGGTCATCTAAGACAGAGAGTGGGCAAGAGACGAGGGAGGGTTGGCAGGCAGGGCCGGCTGTGCGAAGATGAAAGCCGGCTTCAGGTTGAAGGGTATAGAAGGGTCTCTCTCCATGTGGGTGGGGCTCTGGGTATGGAAGGACCCCTCCACAGACACACCCTCTGATCATCTCACCCTCACACCAACCCACCATTCCCACCAGCTCATAGGAGCCGCTGTTTATTCCAGGATGTCTCTAACCCTCATCCATTAGGTCTGCACATGGGGCCCAGGTGTAGCCACAACCCTGCTGGACCTCCTTCTGCTTCTTATTCCCAACCCATCCACACTGGTTCCCACCCTCATTAAGACTGGACTCTTCCTTGCTCAGTGTGAGCCACACTAATTTACCCCCGGGGCTCCCACTGAACCCATCAAAGTCACTACCCACAATCACCTATATGGGGCCCTGAGCCCCCATCCCCAGTAAAAACCCACAGAACACATGTATTTGAATTTTTTCCTTTGCAGATTTTTTTTTAGTAGACATAGTCTTTTTTTTCTCTCTCATTTTACAGCAAACTTTGCAAATATAGATTCTTTTTCTGTACAATAGAACAGCTACAGTGTACAATGAAGATGGGGACAGGGTTGGGGGAGGACACACCTGCTTCACAATGCTTCCCAGCCTGCACCCCTCTTGCCACCCCATCCTGTCCCTAGGCACAGTCTCCATCTCCCCCCTGGAGTCTCACAGCCTCAAGATGCTGCCAAAGTCAGGCGGCCCATCTGCCTCAGCTCCACGCCCCCCCCCTGCACAGACTGGAACGTCATATTTAGGGGGTGCCATGAAGCTGGCACACTTGGTCACCCCCCCCATGATAGGTGATTTAGGTTTTTTTTTAAGAATTTCACTTTTATATATATATTTTTTAAAAAGGAAGGAAAGAAAGAGGAAAGAGAGAAGAAAGAGAGAAAAGGAAGAGAAGACTCAGAACAGGAAAAAGATGGAAAAAATTCCCCTCCCCCACCCCCACCCATAAGACACAGTTTTCCGAAGTCCCGTGTATGCGTGTGTATGCATGTGCATGTGTGTGTGTGCATGCGTGTGTATGTATATGTGTATTTGTGCATGTTTGCATGCGTGTGGTGAGTGTGTGTGTGCATGTGTGTGTGAGTGTGTGTGTGCATGTGTGTGTGTGTGGCTTGCTTGCTTGCACCAGGCAGCAGGCACAGTACAGTTTACATGAAAGTTAGTATATCTATTGTTGTGGCCACCTGCGGCCTCCTCAAGCTGTCCCTGCAGGCCAGGCGCTGAGCCCAGCAGCCCCTTGTTGTGCACTTATGTTGGGCTTAGTGTTGAGTCTCAGTCAGGGATAGCTGCTGCGGATGGTCTATCCTTTTTGGTCCACTGAGCATCACGAGTTTCGGAGAGGACAGGGCCGGGTTGCCTTGGGCCCTGCTGAGGGATGGAGGGAGATTCAGGACTTGTGCTGGGCGGACACGCCTTTCCAGTAGTCTAGGATATCATGCAGGTCCTCATCTTTGGCAAACTGGACCTTCTTGCGCAGGGCGTGGCCAGCCGCCATGAATTCCGCATCATCCTTGTGCCTCCTACGGCTCAGTCTGAGGCGCTCCCAGATGCTCGGGGACGCCCTGCAGGTATACTCGGGGCTGGATGAATAGCTCAGGTTGTGGTACTGCGGGGACAGCTGCGAGTAGACGAGGTCTCGGGGTCGTGGCCGTGTCAGAGGCTCCAGGATGGATGCCTTGCGGCCTCCAAGCCCTTCATGAGTGGGCGGAGGTGGCGGCGGAGCAGGTGGCTCAGCAGGGTGGGAGCCGGGGTACGAGTGCCGATGCTCGCCATACTGGCGACTCTTGTCGGCCTCGGCCCGCAGCACAGTGGCTGCGGGTGTCACAGTGAGGATGGTCTCGGGCACAGGTGAGCTTTTTTCAATGTACTTGGTCTCAGTGGCTGGGGCCTTATGTGTGCCGGTGGCCTCAGCCCGGAAGGTGCGAGGGCTACGCGCAGAACCGCTGGATGAACTGCTGGCCCTGGGGGGGCCAGGTGCAGCCTCCACGCTGTGGTGCCGCTGCAGGCCACCATGGCCAAAGGCATCTTTGTAGACAGGGGACAGGAAGCTGTGCTTGCTAGCCAGAGGCTCGGACAGCAGTACCAGCGGCGGCTCAGCCACGGACACGGCCCCCGATTTGGCGCCCTGGAAGGACGTGGACTCAGACTTGAGAGCATCGATGCAATTGTTAATGATCTGGTTGACCCTGTCCACCTCCTTGGCAATGGTGGAGATTTCCGCCACTGAGCTCTGGTTTTCTGTGCCAGGCCGGCTCAGCTCACAGCTCCTGCGTTCTGGCGGCTCCCCTGTGCGTACTTCAATGTAGTTCCCCTTGGTGGCTTTGGGGGTCTCACTACTCTCCACTAGCTTGTACTGCTCCACGTCACTGGTGGTGGCTGGCAGGTAGGGTATTCGAGACACAGCCTCAGAGCCAAGCAGCGGGCCCTGGGTCAGCGGGGCTAGCCCAGGTGCCTCAATCTCAGGCCCATACTTCAGCTCGATGATGGTCTTTTTCAGGCTGCCAGCTGCCGCCGCCACCGCCTTCTTATGTTTCTCCTCCTGTCGCCTCCGCTTGCGCAGGCAGTAGTAAACAGCGCCCAGAACCAGCACCATGCCGAAGAGGCAGCCGAGGATGGTCATGATGTAGTGAGTGGCTGTGGAGGGGCTGGGCACGGGGCCAGGGGGGCTGGGCGGCTTGGGCAGGCAGATGGTAAGGCAGGTGTGGTTGTGATGGGTGCCAGAGCTGGTGGAGACCACGCAGTATGTGTAGTTGGTGAGCGTGTAGAGATTGGTCAGGCGAATCTCCTCCTGAGGCTGGGTCAGCTTGGACACGGTGAACGATTTGCTGTTGTTGTAGTGCTCCAGTGTGTACATGCGGTTGAACGGGCTCGGCAACTGCACCATGATGGTGGCCGAGTTTTGGGTCAGTTGCTTGACCTTCATGGAGGGACGAGCCTCCATCTGAGTGGCCAGAGTCGTCAGGACCACCAGTGGCGTGGTGCCGTCACCAGAGAAGCACTCGTCATCGGGACAGGGCACATCGCTGGGCTCCGGGGGAGGTGGCGGTGGTGAATGTCCCGGCTGTGATCTGCCTGGCGCCGGGCGAGGTGGGCCGAGCACCTCAGCTGTGTAGGAGTCCTCGGTGCACACAGACTGCAGTTTGCTGAGGATGCTACGCTGGTGGCCATGGCGGCCCTGGCCCAGCAGGAAGTAGCCGGCGTAGACAGGAGGCGACTCACACTGTACCCGGTCGTGGGTCTGTGTGGCATTGGTGAAGGCGGCCAGCCAACGCAGGAAGCCCAGCAGCTCACAAGAGCAGTAGAAAGGGTTACTGTAAATTTCGCACACCGAGAGCTTGGCCAGGCCCGCGAAGGTGCCGCTGCCCAGCTGCTGGATGCGGTTCATGGAGAGGTCTATGTTCATGATGTTGGGACACTCCCAGAAGGCGCTAGCCATGACCACCTCGATGAGGTTGGCCTGCAGGTACAGGTACTCGAGTTTGCTCAGGCCCCGCAGCATGCCCTCCGTAAGGTTGCGCAGCCGGTTGTATCCCAGCTGCAGCACCTGGAGGTTGAACTGGCCGGAGAAGGCCCCATCCTCGATGTAACCGATCTCATTCTTGGTGAGGTTGAGGTATGTGAGGTTCCCAAAGCGGCTCAGGGAGGCATAGTGCACACTGCGGATACGGTTCTCATTGAGCCGCAAATCCACGATGGTGTTGTTGATCTGTTGGGGGATGGCCTCATAGGGCGGTTGGTTCTGGCTGCAGATGGCCAGCCACACAAAGCCCTTATCACCCTCGATCAGCCAGCAGTCGCCTTGGGCCAGCCCGCCTGCGTGCAGTAACGTGGCAGCCGCCACAAGCACCCAGGGTGCGCCCCACCCATGCCCAGCCATCTCGAGACACTCTGCCTGTGGGGACAGGGTGGAGGGCTGGGCAGTGCCCCGCCCCCCGCGGGGACTTAGAGGTGGAATAGGTCACTGCCTGCACTGTCAGAGATGTCCTGTCCCAAGCTGCATGGTGCAAGTCCTGGGAGGGAGGATCGCTCCCTCACTGCCCACTGCCTCGCGCCGTCCTCCCCGATCCTGAGGTGACCACGGCCTGCTTTCCCATGGGCCTGTGTGTCCTGGTGGCTTCTCCCGGCTCCTGTGCCTGAAGTACTCTCTGCTGCAAGACAAGAGAAAAGAGAGTAAGTCACACACACACACACACACACACACACACACACACACACACATAACCCTCATGTCCAAGGTCACTGGGTGACTGAAGAATTCAGCCAAGCCATCCACCCACGTTTTCTGTGAAACAGAAACCCTGTCTTAGGTCATGGGACTGGGTGAGAGAGTCTGGGGTCACCAAGGCAAACATATGCAAGGCGGACACGATGTCCCCAGGGTGACCAGCTCCCCAGGGTGACCAGCTCAGAGGTATCTTGAGGGATGATACAGTTCACTGGGCATAGCTCAAGTCCGCAGGGTAACAGCCTAGAAAGGACTCAGAGTTCATCAGGCCATGAGTGGCAGGGCTGGCTGAGGCAGGACATCCATCTCATTGACTCATTGGCACTATGCCTGCCACCTGGATGGAGTTCTTGGATGTCACTTCTCCCCAAGAAGGGCCAGTCACAGCACCTTCAGAGCCGCCTGCAGAGGGTGCCGAACACCCAGCCAATGTCCCCAGCCTGAGGCGGATCAGTTCTCCTTCTGCCCTCTAGGAGGCAGCAGAGTGGTCCAGCACACCCAGGGCTCATCATTAGTAGAGCTCCGAGTGACCGTCCCCACCACATGACCCGGCAAGCCACCCCTTCTAGGCCTCAGTTTCTCCAAGCGAACCAGCTGGCTGATCTCTGAGGCCTGCTACCCACAGAGCACCCAGGACTTGAAGCTGTCCCCCTCGTGGCAATGGAGGAGGGGCAGCCCACTTTGCAAAGAAGTCCTCCTGGGATTGAGGGAGACTGAGATGGCTCAGCAGACCAGGGTGATGACTGCCAAGCCTGACGACCTGAGTTCAATCCCCAGGACCCACATGGTGGTAGGAGAGATTCAACTCCCGCAAATTGCACCTCCCATACACACAATTAATAAAGAAATATAAAACAACCTCCTTAAATTAATTAAAAGAAAAGTCCTCTCCAGGCATCCTCCACTTTCCCAGACGAGGCCCACCTTCCTCCATCTCCCACCCCACGTTTACATACAAGCAGCCTCCTCTACCCCATGCCCCCCCCCGCTATGCCCCCCCCCCCGAGGACCAGGACTATGCCTCCCCCTAATCCCCAAAGCCCAGAGTGCATGAGAACAGAACTGTGGGGTGATGGGAGGATGCCTTATGGGGCAACTGGAGTCCTTTATCCTCTGGTCCCCTTCTGCCCACTTGCGGGATGGAGAAATGGGTATTCGCTTGTTAATACAGGGATTTACAGCTGCCTTTGTCACCGCTCAGTGGCCTGGCCAGCAGCCAGCTGAGTGTATTTCACCAATATTGACAGCGGCAACTAGGCTGCTCCGAGGCGACTAAAATGAGGAGGAATATATATATATATATTTCTTTCCTCTTTGCAAACTTCAGAAATGGGACCTGGCTCCCAAGAGAATCCATTTCTAATGGAGAAAGGCGAACAGAATAGACTGGAAATCCAGAGGAACCCAGACCCTGCCTTGCGGTTCAGCAGCCTGGTTTCTGCTTAGACCTTGTGCACTGGAGCTGGTGAGCAGACATAGAGCCTTGGGGGTGGCATGATCCTTAGCCAGAAGGGCCTGGGAATTCCCTTGGGCTCCTCATCCCATGTCAAGTTCACAGTGGTGGCACAACGTATCCACCATGCCTCGGAGCCTGACAACCACGGGAGAGCTCAAGCCAGAGAAAGGCCAGTGGAGTTGGTTGTGAGGACACGGACCCCGGTGGGAAGAGCCTTTCTCTCCTGGCCTCCAGGAGGGGTAGTGCCTGGCGAGAGATCTTAATCAGCTGTAATCTCTTGCTCAAAATAACTGAAAGTCGAGTTAAGCAGGATTACAGGCCCAAAGAGGCGCCGTGGTGTCTCCTGCGGTCTGTCGGCCTCCTACGCACACAGCTGCAGGTGTGTGCATGGGCATTTGCACTCCTGTGTCATCCTAGGCATAGGTTTGCACGCACATGCTCACCTAGACACATGGGACAGGCTGTGTGGGGACCCCAAGGTGCTCTTTTGTCCCCCCCTTACCTTGTTTGTACTCTGACTCACAGTGTGGGCAACAGGCCCTACTCCGTCTCACCCTGTTCCAGTATGGCAGTGGGCACTCTGAGTTCAAGGGCCCCTGACTCCAGCCATGTAGTCCTTGTCTCCTCCCCACCCCCACAGCCTTCTGCTATCCCACACCTAGGTTTGTCAACAATGCAGGGATCTTCAGTACCTGCCGGGGTAGGAACCCATGACTGTCCCCTCTATCATGGCCAGCGGCGCCTCAAGCATGGAAAGACGGACCCACCTCTCACATAGCCTCTGCCTCACAGGGAACCCCACAACCTCAGCCTTGTGGGTCCCCAAATTCTCCTTCCATGCTTAGTTTTTCAGATAGAGGAAACTGAGGTCCAAAAAGTAAGATCCATCCTGGGTCGCACAGTGAATTGGCCCATGCCTCTTCCTGTTTAGGTCAATGTCCAGAGTCACAGGCACAGAATTAGGTGGAAGCCAGGGCAGATGCCATGGGTCTAGTCCCAGAGTACTGAGGCCATGGAGCCACTCTGGGGAGTACTTATCAAGGGAACAGGTCAAATCGCCTTGATAGGTATTGGTATTGATGGCCCAGGATGGTGTCCTACCTCCAACCCGAGCTCTCCCGCCAACCTTTCCCTCATTCCATAATTCACTCACTCCCCTGGTCCTCACCTCACCCTGCAATCCCTTCTCATCCCCTCATTTCTCCTCTCACTCTGTGCTTAGTAACTCACTCATCAACCCACAGACCCCAGGTTGGAAGGCAGTGTCTAGACCCTGCAAGAGGGAGTTGCATCCCGGCACCAGGCCCAGCCCCCCATCTAGAACACACATCCTTAAGTGGACCACATTCTGTGTCAGGGGTCCCCCGCCCACGTGTCGATACCCAGTGTCAAAAGTGCAGCCAATCCTTACAGAATTTTCCACGGTAATAAGCAACACACTCAATCTGCCTCCTTCCTTGTTCACCTCTGCCTGCCCTCCACAGTAAACTTCCTCACTAGGGGACCCATGTTTCCCTCTGCCTTGGGACTGTATCTTTTTCCAGCTGTTTCCACCCTGGATCTAAGAGAGTGATGCCTCCCGTCACTGTCACAGGTGACCTCTGGGCCACCAGTCCCTGGCTTCTTGTCTTTCTCACACCATGGTATTCTTTTTTTTTTTTTTTTTTGGTTTTTCGAGACAGGGTTTCTCTGTGGTTTTGGAGCCTGTCCTGGAACTTGCTCTTGTTCACCAGGCTGGTCTCGAATTCACAGAGATCCACCTGCCTCTGCCTCCCGAGTGCTGGGATTAAAGGCATGCGCCACCACCGCCCACACCATAGTATTCTTTCCTGTCCCTGAAGTTGGGCTCTCAAGTGGCCCTGTGGCTGACCCTCAGCTGGACTGCCCAATGCTATCCCCTGACACCTCCACTTGGCTGAACCCCAGTGGGTCTCCACAGCCCTGACATTTCCTAGGTTGTAGATGAGGTGTGCAGATACCTGTGCCAACCAGTGGCTCTCAGGCCTAGTTTGGAGGATAGATTCTGCTTACAATGAGCAGGGACCAAACCCGGGTGCTGGCTCAGCTCACCAGGACCAGTTGACAGCTCTGACCCCTGAGATACCAGAGGGAGAAGCCTTGCACCATGGGAGGCTTTGAAGCCATGCTGGGAGATGAGGGTCAGACCACCTGGCCGGATGGAGATGGCAGAGGTGCCGAGGGTGTCAACCTGTCACTCAAAGAAATGCCACAGGGGGAGATGGCTCACCATATGAGCATGAAGATCTGGATTCAGATCCCCTTAACTCATATTAAAAGCTAAGTGTTGTAGCCACAGTGCTGGGGAGGGGGCGACAGGGTTCAGGGGCCAGACAGCCTCAGTGAGCTCCAGGCCAAGGTTACCCTGTCTCAAAAAAAAAAGTGAATGGTACCTGAGGTTGACCTTTGACCTTCATGTGTTGGTACATATGCATGTGCTTACATGCACACATACACATCAGCACTCACATGAACACACACAGAAGGGAGGGAGGGAGGGAGGGAGGGAGGAAAGACCTATCACAGGCCAAAGAAGCATTCAAAGAGACCTAGGAATGAACAGAGTGGTTTTAGTGGTTTTCCTAATAGGCTTTCATTAGGCAGCTGACTTGTAGACTAAAAGGACTGGGCAGCAAGACAACTTCCGGTCCCACCCTGCTCCATGCCATGCTCTCCCCCACAGCAGGGGGATGCTAGGCGTGGCGTTTAAGAACAGCAAAGGCCCCTCAAAGGACCATACACAGAGGGACACACAGTCTGGCAGGAGGGAGGAGAGCTGGAGAGAGACGCAGTTGGGCCGCAGGCTGGGTGGGCAGGGCATCAGACGGACGGTCTTAGTGGCTGGGTAGGAGTCCATCAGGCAGGCAGGAGGAGGAGAGGGTGCATGGTCATGTGATCAGAGCCATTCCTCCCCAGGGGCTGGGAGGGTGTCCCAGGACAGAGGGGAGTAGGCAGTGCCAGGCTATAGTGGGTGGCTGTTGGGGCAAGGTGTGGGGGGGAGGTCCAAGGTGACAAGGGAGGGGCCGGACTTGTTCCCATCCACTTCTTCCTCTCTCTGTTTCCCACTTCTCTCTTCTTAGAATAGGTGGCCAGAGGCCAGAGGATCTGAGGCTGGGGAATCAAGCTTGTGCTGCCCAGGCCCTCCATGTTCAACTTCAGGTCTCAGTTTCCACACCTGAGATTCACTGGGTATCTGCAAGGATTCTTCCTATAGTAAGAGGGCCGGGGCCTCATGTCTGGGGATGACTCTATGTACACACACACACACACACACACACACACACACACACACACACCGTGGGTGCTCATGGAGGACCTCTGTAGCCCAGGGCACCCCAGGGACAATGGACTTGCATTGTCATTCCAACCCCGCGGCCCTTCCCTGGTGATGAAGTAGCGCATGGCATTCTCGGCTTTTAAACTTCTTATAGTCAGATTTACATAATCAT